CCCCCTTTAAACTTTCAGTCCGTCACTGTCGGATTATATGTTTGTGTGTCATACACATAGAATTTTAGATTGGAGTGCCCCAGCAGTTGAGCAGGTTTGGTCTGAGATTGGAAATGACGCATTGCCTGACTGAAGAGGGCACACCCTCCATTCTAGCTCACTTCCCAAGTGAAAGGAGAAGCAAAAGGAGTATAGTGAATGGGAGAGTATATAAACGGAATGGGACGGGGAGAGAGCCCCAGCCAAAGGAGGAAAGTGCAGGAAGGCCTGAGATTGGGCAATGTTTGATTCTTCATCATTCCCGGCTATATAGTATGTCACTTTCTAGGCGCATTCTAAGTCGCTTTCAATGTGACAGGAGAAGCAAAAGGGATGCGGAAAAGAGGGAACGACGGGGAGATGGCCTACATAAGAGGAAGCGGACGGTGAAGGAAGGCTTGATTGGGCTTTCCCTCAGACTTCACTTCAGCATACAGTTAGAATGTTCAGCACGCCGGGAGAAAAAATGCCCAGTAAGAATGCGGGGTGCCCCCTTTAAACTTTCAGTCCGTCACGGTCGGATTATATGTATGTGTGTCATACACATATAATTTTAGATTGGAGTGCCCCAGCAGTTGAGCAGGTTTAGTCTGAGATTGGGAAATGCTGCATTGCCGGCTGAAGAGGGCACACCCTCCATTCTAGCTCACTTCCTTGAAAGGAGAAGCAAAAGGAGTATAGTGAATGGGAGAGTATATAAAGGGAATGGGACGGGGAGAGAGCCCCAGCCAAAGGAGGAAAGTGGAGCCTGCCGGACCCAAGGAGAGCAACTCTCCCGACAGGTCGCCCATGTTGATGAAATTGATGAAGTTGACAGTGCTGGATACTTGCTATTGTTCACTGGTGGTGCAGATAGAATGCACTCGATCATCAAAGGCTTTCTACACACAGAACATATTTGCTTACTCCCATATGGATTCGTGTATGCTCTCAATTCTCAGCCCTTGACATGTTCACATTTTTTCACTTCTTGCACTATGCTTCATCTCAGCCGCATGACAACATCATCAACACCACACCACACCACAACCCTGGAAGCACCCTAACTAACTTGTGAAACATTCTAACTCCAGGACGCTGACTGACACTTAGAATGCTACCAAATAAGGCCTCCCTGCATGCCCAACCCAATCATTGCCCGGTGTGAAAACGCATTCTAACTTTCAGTCCGTCGCTATAATTAGGAAAGGACAAGGGAAAGGACAGCAGCAGTAGGGTGGGCGACCAGAAAAACGTCGGCGAGGGTGTGCAATACTTGGTGTGGATTTGCGACAGGGTGACCTTTAAACAGTTGGTCGTGGCAGGCCCACTACATTGACCAAAGTAGTGCCGATTTCGTGGCACCGAAGCGGGGTTGCAAGCTACAAAAGCCACCAAACGCTGAAGGCACCACAAAATAAAGCGACAACTGCACACCCTCTTACCCAATCAATGAGGGGCCTATCCACCACAGGACAGTGAAAGGATGCTTGCAGCCGCTTGCAACACAAAAGAACTTAGGCGGGTTCGTGCAACATTTGGTGCGAGCGACGGGTGCCTGGGTGACCTTTAGAAAACCTGTCGTGATAGGCCCAGCTGATTGGCAAAAGATGCAGATTTCGTGGCGCTGGAGGGGGGTTGGGGGGGCGCGCGCCTCCCCCTCAGAGCGAGCCAAACATCAAACGCCATCAGACTCAAAAGGCACCACGACAACATAGATCGCCATCACTACACACCCCATTGCCTCATCAATGAAGGGCACTCAGAAAGTGACGCAAGGACCAAGGCAACTACAGTAGCGCTTTGTTTTCGCAAAACCTCGTTATTTTCGCAATGGACCACGAGGCCAGCGGACAGGAAAGCGACCAGGAGACCAGTGGACTAGGAGACCAAGCGACTAGGGGACCACTGGACCAGGAGACCGAAGGACCACCGGACCAGGAGACAAAGGGCCTAGGGGCCTAGGGGACCACTGAACTCGAAGACTGGATTGTGTTTTGCTCCTTTACGTTTTTATTAATGATCATTGATCATGTTTTTCTTTTGACCCTTTACTTTTTTGATCCAGATGCCGCCAGAAGCAATGTAAGTTAAGTTGAGGTAATGAGACTCAGACTTTCCAACATCGCATCTTTAAGAATCTTTAACACATCTGACCTGAAAAGCACACAACAACTTTGGACGGCTGAGGTTCCAAAGGCCATGTTGCCCAAAACCTCTGTGCTGTGTGCTAAACTCTTCAACTGCGACTTCACCTCCATGGCTTCCTTACCTCGGCTTGACCATTGCTCCACAATTCCAGTTTCCCTTTCAAAACTGCCAGCGGAAGGAACATGCCGAACCACCTGCCAGCACCTTCCAACAGCTTGGTCTCACCCTTACATGATAATAGGCCCGGAAGATACACCTGCTGGACCCACCAACGTGCTAACTTCTAGCCTGGACACCTTGCTTCTCCAAGGACTTCGAGGACCGCGCCGCATTCCGTCGCTTCAGCTCGGCAGGCGTGATCTCCCCGTGAACCAAATTCAAGAGGAGCCAGGCATCCTCAGAGGAGATCCAGGTTCCTTGTCACGGATCATATTGATCGACCCAGTTGAAAAGCACGGCAAGGAACTTCTAACTTCTGCAGTTTTTGTTCGATAAAATCATCATAGAACTGGAACATCTTAGTGAACCAAATGATTTTCTTGAGCATGATTACATAGAAACCATAGACCATAGACACAATCTTCGATACTCGTAAGGGTTGGGCTCCCTAACCGATGAACGACAGTGGAAAACCATGTCTGAAACCACTGCTGGTTGATGTTTCACATCTACAGTACATCTTTTGTGTCAAGCATGTCGCCGCGGGGGTGCAACTCAAAATCTATAATATGATGATGCGTCTGTATGTGTCCTAAAATCACCGCAGAAATGAGGGGCACCCGCCTATCCACAATATATAACATAGCATCATTTATAGTATAAAATATGCAATTATACTATAAACCTTGCATGTTATATACAAATGCAATTGTATTATATTATTGCAATCATACTAACAAATGCAATTATACTTCAAACCTTCTGCTTCGAGCAAGTCTCGATCTTGTTGACTGACTTTCTCTCTGAGTCGGAGTAGTAGAGGTTGCCCTTCTGGTCCAACGACACCCACTCACTACTCACGTCGCTCACCACCGTTACCTCTTGACCTTAGCGAGTGAAAGATGCCCAATGGGATGCACAGAAGGATCCAAATCATTCGAATCGTGTCCATTAACTTATATAATTAGGCTGCTGGGCCTCCAAAACAAACAAACATGTCACATTGTGGAGCCTCTCTTCGTTCTCCAAGCGGCTCGCATGCAGGACCCATGGAAGGTCACAGCGCCCAGGACCCTCAGCCGCATCAGTGGTGAAGGGGTCCGACACCGCTGCACCCAGCAAACCGGCCTTCTCCGCCGGTGTGAAGCATCGCTCCAAGTACAGCTGCCAGGCTCGAATCCTCCTGGGTCAGTGTCGAAGCCATGGGTGCGAGCGTCTTGCCATGAGGGTCATGCCGAATGGATGGGTCCTGAAAAACATACATCCCCGGTATGTAGATGGGCTCTGAGAAACACAGGGCATGATCAAAGGATATTCAATGACCTTTTGCCTTGGAAGTGGGTAGTCTTCAAAACAATTAAATCCAAGAACCGCCGGTGGTGACTCGGTCCACGTTAACTAATTCTCGTTGGTTTTGGTGTCATGTTTGTTTGGTTTGTCGTTGCAAGTTCTTGAAATATCTTGAAATGTCATTTTGAGATTTGAGATATACTGTTTTTTGACTTATATCTTATTTTGAAGTCTTAAAGTATGGTTTCTCCTGGTCGAAGAGTGAGGGCCCAGGCAAAGAAACAGGCGGGAATGGCTGGGGCTTCAACGAATCGCCGCCCATTTTTCGGTGAAGCTATCGAACCGAGGCTGCCGAGGCACCTCAAGCCAGGATCTGCCACAAAAAGCCGGTTGTGGCGACGGTCAAAGGCCAAGCCCTTTGGACTGCTAACACCTTTGATGAGAGGCTTCACCAGGCCCCGTACTGCTCGGTAATCGTCGCCAATTTGCGAATAGCCTAGGCCGAATGCCGGTTGGAGGCACTGGAAGTAGATGTCTAAAATCGCTTTAGGGGGCTGGTCGGTTCCAAATCTGACTCCAACTGAGACAGCTGGGATTCCGGATGGCCTGCCTACCCGTTCGGATGCATCCGATTTGTTCTCGCTGGTGATTTCCACCGGTCCCCACCTTGGGCCTTGGGTCTCCAAAGGACACCCCCAGGGGCCTCGCTACGAACGGAACCTGGTGGGCCTCGCTACGAAGGGGACGCTCAATGGCCCTACTACAGTACTACATGGTAACAAGGACGTGACTATCCAAGGCCTGGCCTTAACAGACAGAAAAAGCCTGGCCTTACTGTTGGTAACAAACATGAACACTCCCAGGCTTCCACTTCGGCCCCAACTCCCCAAGGCTTCGCCGGTGCACTGACCATTCGCTCCGCCGGGCTGGACACGATGAGGAAGCGCGGTGGCAAGGGTGGTGGCGGGTAGATCGACCAAGTGGATGGCTTCAGCAGAACGTCCTGAGACCGCGAGCCTCGAACTGGGATCTGGAACAAAGACTTAGGACCTAGGACATCCTAGGACCATCCGGCTCCATTGTGGACCTCAATGGAATACTTGCGGGACCTTGCGGCTTGGGCCACCCATTGGATGGTCCTGGCATGCTTTGCGAAGTCTTTGCGAGGTTTTTGTTGGCATCATTTACAGTACAGTAGAAGATTTGTGGAAGGATTTGTGGGAGTTCACATTGCTATCTACTTGGGGGTTGCTTCAGTGTCACTGGAAAAGAAAACGCACAGAAGCAAACACGCGAAACAAACAGCAAGTGGGGCTCCGCGAGCGCAGCTTCCCTCCCCATAGGTCCTCCACCGCTGAAACGTCGGCCCGGAGCGAGGTGCTCCAGGCGAAGCCAGGCAGAAGGACGCCCAAGGCCACATAGGCCAGCGCTGTCATCAGCGCACTACACTGGAATGGGGGATTGATGCCAGCTGCCCTAAGGCAGCTTCATGACCATCCGGAGCCAAAACATGTCAAACATTTTGAGCACACATTGACATACCAACCAGCAGATTGGAAGAGTTGGGACACTTGGCGTCTTTTGGTCCTTGTTCAGTGGTTGAATCTTCAGAATTGGCTTTGAGATACCCTACGAACTTCCCACAGCAACTCCTGACTTGGAAGATGAACTTGTGAGCGACAAAGAAGGACTCACACGGACGCGTCGACCTTTCTCAAAGAATGTGATGTATACTGTATTATGGATATTAGAATAAGCTACTAGGAACAAGTGCATCGCTTCTAGTAACAAGTATAACAAGTGCCTTACTAGTAGTAACAAGAAGCTATTAGGAACAAATAACTACTAATTAATTAGAATTTAATTGTTTTTCCTCCTACTTCGCACTCAGATACACCAAGTTACGGCGCGTGACTTGGGGCCGCGACTCGGTGGTCCGGCTGAGACTCCCGGCGGCATTCCAACGCCAAATTCGATGCATCCCCTGGATCCTGGGCATCCACGATACGCCCGCGGTGCAGTGCCTGTTGCATCCAATTGCTATGGAGATCTATGGAGAGACACCCCACATGAGATTGGGAAAATCCATACTGTGCAGGCTGTGAGAAAGTATGCGAAAAGTGATCGAACAATATCGAACACACAAGTCGGAGGCCCGTGCATGTATCATGATGGCCAGCATTGATAAGCAATGAGCTTCAGCAAACAAATAGTAAAGCTTTGTCTTACCCTCCTGCACAGCAACATGTAGCCCGTGCAATCTTGCATTGATTAGGGCGATTAGGGGCGACTTTAGCTCCATCAATGAGGCACTTTCGCCAGAGAAAGAGCATTTGCACCGGGCAGCCACGCCTCAGACCGGAGGAGGAAGACGTCCTCGGGGTAAGCGGTGGCAGCCGCCAGCATCGCCAAGAAAGCCTTGGGCACGACAGGAAGGAGATCCAAACCCAGCCGAATGTGCTCACGGCTGGGCATTGATGCGGATGCGATGGTGGGGTGGGATGGCAAGAGAGACGGCAACTTGGAGAGGAATCATCTATCCTTATTTATGTCATTCAGTAGGTTGGGAAGGCTGGCGAAGGGAGGCGGGAGTGTGCGTGCTGGTGTGGAGGGCTTAGGGGACTGACGCCTTGGGAGCTCACCTCAGTCATCTCCAAGAGGTCTCCTAAGACGAGAACCGCGTGCCAAGGGTGGGAAAGCTGCCAACAGGCAGCAGCAGCAGGGATTGAATCCCAGAAAACAGTCCTGGGTTTACTCGAGTGGTCAGCTCACGTTTGCTCCACCATACAATGCTCCTCTCCTTTCATTTGTATTTAAATAGGGCCCACTTCCTAGTCGACCGTCAAATACGGACACCTCATTGCAAGGCCTGCACGTTCATTCACGTCCTCCACCAAATAGAAAGAAATCCAAATCAAGCGGGCCCCCCTTGCTATCCACTCGGACCATGAAACGTAGCTTGCAGAACCATTTCCATTCAAGCGTTTCTGTCACAAGGCGCAACTTTCTCGTTGTTCATCGAGGTTTCTCACATCAACTGAACTTCAGGCACATGAGAAATGTGGTCCAAACTGCAGGACGAATCCCCACCAAGGAGCATCCAGCTTGGCAGCCCCAGGCCTCATGAAGACATAGACCTGCACCATCGGCATCGAGCCGTCAAGTCCGAGCCATCGACATCCGTCAGCGGCTCACACATGCGACGCAGCGACGAGGTGGCTGAGTCAAGAATCCCAAAACTGGACGGTGGTCTCAATGCGATGCGGCGGCAAGGCATTGGGTTTATATAGAGGTTTGTTGTAGCATGAGTTGGTGGGTGGGGGCAATTGCGCCGCGGATTTTTCTGGCTGGCTGCAAGACCTGCAAGAAAGGCCGAAAAGCAAAGCTTCGGGAAGATTGTGAATACGTTGGGTCGATACTATGAATAGGATAATAGGACAAAACAAAGGAATTGCATGTTTTTTTGAATATTTCTGTCCCATTTTCCGAATCAGACCCTCACAGTCTTGGTGGCATGGTGAAGGGCTCCTCATGAAGGGAGGGCCTGTGAAAACGGTTTGTGATGATGATGCAACGGAAATTGACCCCTGGCGGCCCAATCTCTCTGAACGGTTTCCAGTCTACTACATTGGATCGCAATCAGTTCCATCTCTACGCCTGTTGGGAGGACAATCCCAACGTCTCCAACCTCACCCCTCCCCACATTGAATGGGCACAGAGTCAACTGGACTACTCGAACAGCCCGTGCCTGGTCAACTGGTGCCTGTGCCAACAGCTTGGAAGTCCTTCCCTCCTCTCTCTCTGGCAAGTCACTGCTCCCGATTGTCCAGGCCAGCCGGTGGTCTCAAACAACTCACGCAACCTCAGGAAAAACCACGCAACCTCACGGAGTTTCCCCGAAGTAACGTAGCATGCTGCGGCCGCGTTTGTACATATGAGATGTACATACAAATATAAAATAAACAACATGCAACACACACACATATATATGTACTATGATGTTCATGTCATATATTATATTATGTATTATATTGTATTATACAGTATGTTCAATCTTTGACTCTCGGGCAGGTGTTGTACTGTTTGTGGGAGGGTGTCCCATTAGTTCCTCCAATGAAGCAGGGCTGATGCCAGCTGACCTCACCGTAGATTGTGCCGAGTTATACCAGTCCCTCAAAACTCTTGGGTTGCCAGAAAAAGTGTGGGTGGGTGGGTGGGGTATATACGTCTTGGAACTCAAGCACTGTGAAGCCGCTGCGGGACTTGCGCTCTCCCTTTTTTGTCAAATCTGCATGCATCTCGCCCGGCTTGGCCGGATGTGGAGGTACCTGCCGATCGTTCTGGGCAGGTCAAAACGAGGAGACGCTGATTTTTGTTGGGGTGGTGAAGATTGCCACTGACATAGACCAAGTGATTGATGCAGTTCAACATGTCCACACCGGTGGTTCTGAAAGAGGAACCTTGACTCACGACCCTGCTGACCAAGGTACTGATTCTTTAACCCCTCCCTACAACCTCCAGCATCACCGACACCGACCTTCTCTGCCACCTCCAGCAGCTCCTGCAATGCAGACCGCTGTGCAGGCGTGAGCTGCGCCAAACGCGTGGCAAGGGCCTCACCTGAGACTGCTGAGATTCTCAACGGCGAAGCAGCATGCATTTCCCATGATTCCCGCCTCCGCATCCCAGTCTATACTACTATATTCTCTTATATATACCAATCTCCCACTCTCTGCAATGGTGATGTCATAGTTAAATCACTTCGTGGCCAAACGCTCTTGTGCGGCAAGTGGGTGAACAAAATAGAGGACCGGTCGGACATGCAAGCTGGATGGGAGGCTGGGAGCAAGCTGCCCTCCCATCCATTTCCCTCTATATACTCCTACCAGGCCCTACCAACTAACATCCAAGGACCTACAAGTCTAGCAGAGATGAAGGATTTGGAACTTCAGATGTAGGGCAGGTCTACTTGCTTGCTGAGCTGCAGGAATCCATCGAAGATAGTGTCGCGCGCGCATCCTCTGCCTTCAGCCAACCAAGGACAAAACAAGATAAACAAGGAACTTACAACCTTTGACCCTTTTGACACGGAGATCTCTTTCAACTACCCCACTGGGTGTTGTGCAATCTATTCTGATGTCAATGAATGTCAATGAACCCATAGTATAATTAGCATATAATTCCATATATTTCCTAAATTCCTAGGTGGGGGAAGTGAAAAAACCGGATCAATTCCAAGATCCTCCCCATAGCTTCGGCGCGCACCCGTGCTCAACCAAGGTTGTTGTGACCCAGTCCCAGTCCAGCTTGCGTTCTGGCTTTTGCTGACCTGGTTGCATGTCCCAGGATCACGTGGGTCCACTAGCTCTCAATGACGGAGTTGGACACCGAATGGGGAGGTCACCGTAAATGGAACTGAATGCCTACCAGTGCGAAAAGACATTCATGGGACTATGTAGTCTCTTACAATCTGTGAGGGGACGGCAGAGACGGCACCGGATGTGAAATGCTTTCAAAAGCATTGGGACCCCCCATCATGTAACCAGGTAGCATTTCGGTGGGTCGGTCTACCATGGTCCAATGAGCACGCTCACTCACTCGGTGGTAGCGACTCAAGCAAGCCACGTCCATGCGAATGGTTCGCTGCTCAGACAAAGCGCTGGCCTCAACGCTAGGGAACTCGGACGAAAATATCACGGGTGGAAATCCGGGCCTTCCTTTTCATCAAGACATGAGTTGAGGATGTTGACTGTTGTAACACCATGTCAACAATGGTGCACATGCTTTATTCTAAAGAATGCATATAGTTGGTTTCTTTTTTAAAGCGCATGTTCATACAGAAGTCAACACCAAGAGATTGGCATTCCGCATGATTGAACAAACAACAGGTTGGAATGCCCAGTTCTGCGCACCGGAGCGGCGGCGTTCCACACCTTTCGCCCCTCGACCCCTTCGGCAGAACTGACGGCCAACGATCAATCACCTGGTTCAGTGCATTACATGTTATATACATGTCTCAAAACATGGGATTGACCAGGTAAAGAATCGAAGATTCATTTATCGCTTTTCTTGTGGAACATGGAATCTGGGCGCCGCATTTCAATAGGGAGACCTCCCAAAGACCCCTTGGAACAAGGAATTTAGACCAACACCCAGTGGTTGAGAATCTGCCTATGTGTTACGAGAAGAGTCGGTGCACGCTGATGAAACCCGAAGTGACATGAACACACAACTTCGTTCGTTTGTCCGATTTTTCGAGTGGCTGAATCCTTCGAAGCATTGGGCGAAAGTTTCAGTTTGCCGAGGTGGACTTCGTCGCCTTGGTTATCTTAGTGCTACCTCCTATGTTCATGGACAGTTCATTTTCCCTCATGGTTCGGCTACATGTCGGAACCTGTGGGATTACTTTCACCAGGGTCGTAGATCCACCAACCTCTTGGCGGCCTCTACGGGACGAGTCGGAAGGGCCTCTTCGACTTAGATTTAGCTTCACTTGCACAGGTTGAGGATTTAAGTTCAGTATGTCTACCTTACGCAAAGCAAAGGGTAGCCATTGCATGAGACGCATGCGTGAAACGACAAAGACCAAAAAAACACCCAGTGGTTGAGGGTCTCCATTTTAAAATGCACACCCATCTGGGACAATCTGGGCGCATCTGGGCGCATTTTATCATGACTCCTATGACTTTGCATGCCCCCCACAAACATTGAAGGCATTGAAGGTGGCAAGTATCAAGCTTTCGGAAACCTTGGCCTTTCATTTGGCAACCGGCAGTACCTGGTGGCAGGGGACACTTGTGTGGAGATGAGACGCACGTTCAATCTTGCGACCCCTTGCTTTCTGTCAAGCTGCAAGGATGGGTTCAAGGTCATCTTTCAAACTCGAAGCAGCAGATTCGCAGCTTCCTTGCTCCTCACATGCACTGGTTTGAGTCAAATGGTTGCTCCTAGAGGTCCTAGAGTTGGTGGACCAGAATATTGCAGAAGTATACATATATACTTATATAAGAATCTTGAAACCTCTGGCAGCAATCATTCAGTGGCATTCTGATGGAGGGCCACCATCAGAACTTGCTGCCGTAAGGAGCGCCATAAGCAAGCACTGCGAAACTTTTTGGCAACTGCTCCATTGACCTGAGATTGCTAATCTCTGCTGTGCGGCTGTGCTCCTATCCCGGCGAGAAGCATTGCAAGCACTTCGCTGCAAGCATCGCCGAGAACAAGCCTTGAACCTTTCGCTGCACCCCTCAACATCTTCAGCCGGATGTGGCCTTCCACATTCTGCTGGACAACTGACTCTGTCCCAGCTCCACATCTACTCGGGACGGAGTAGGCGCGGAGTAGGCGCCAGGTGGTGGGCAGGCACGAAGCACATGAGGAGAGGTTCGCGAAAACATCAGCCACGCAGGCTGCGCATGTAGTTGGCCGCTTCAGCACTTCCAAGCCTCTGGCCTTGAAGAGACGAGGTTGGGCAATCAACTGCAGTTCTATGTGTGGAACATGGTCAAACTGATTGGTGTTTTTGCGGAGCCCAGGCGATCCCCTCGATTCCCCTAGTCGCGGTTTTGGCCCCAAGAGCCCAAACACAATGCAGGGGCAATCATGACTGCAACGATTTCCAGGGAAGAAACGATGTGCACCACGGTGTGATTGGACAACGTGAAGAAACTCTGTACCAGGACAATTCTCTGCAAGGAGCTGCGACATTCTCTCTGGGCCATTTCGGGAAGATCCTTCCCAAAAGGGAGCTCTGATTTCAACCACGTCATGTCCGAGTGGCTGATCTCACTCTCTGGAACCCTGGACAGCCAGGCGTTCCGCAAGGCCGTGGCGCTGAGGTCGGCGGAAAGCTGTGGAGGAGCATCGATCTCGAGGACTTGGAAGGGTAAGGCTTCAGAATTGATCAAGGTCCTGGGCGTCTGAATTGCCAGAGCAGTGCAACGTTTTTTGTAGGGTACCATGGAGACAAGGCACCCTATCATTAAAAAAAACCTATTTATAGAAGCAAAATGAAGCAACAATGCAAATGGAGGTGGGATAGGTGGCCTGAGAACGTGGGTCACCTACACCATCCACGACCCAGTGAGGACTTCTCAGCAAGCACTTCACGATACTAACCGCAAAACAAGAAAAGATTGATTCTTCGTGGAGCACTGGAAGCGTGATCAAGGGTGCCGTTCAGTGGGGCCTTCGATGTCTTTGCAACGCCGTGCAAGCATGTGTCCGTTGCGAGGGCCGGTTGTGGACAACGCAAAGTCGAAACTTGCCATCTTGCAAAACCTTGGCTGCGACAAGTGCACAAGGGCAGCGGCTTAGAACTGAAGGGTGCTGCCAGGCAATATTGGTTGGACACGTTATGGAATGGCTCTTGGAAGAGCGTCAAGCAACAAATTCAAACAGGTGTCGACTGGAAGATGGGACTGGAGATGTGTGTGTATATGCATGTTACACAAGATTTCTCCTGATTTAATGTTGAATCCGTCCACAAAACAGTGCTAAAAGACTCAACTCCAAAACGAATTCTGTAGAACGGCAAAACTGAGCACAAACTCGAAAAACTCAAATCAAACTCCGATTTGAGTCAAACTCCAAAAAAGCTCAACAAGTACTCAAGGAGCAAGTCAGGAGTATTTATCAATTAGTGATAATTAGTGAGTTTTGTTTGAGTTCGTTTTGAAACCAATTTGAGCTTCTCAATCGAGTTGCTTTCGAACCTGAGTTTCTCCTTTGCCTCTTTTTTTTTGCTGTCTGGACCGGACCCACGAATTCAACTTCAAGGAGCTTTCTCCATTTGCTTGGAGTGCCAAGAGTGTGGATCAAGGAACTTCTCCCTGGCACATCAGGCAGTTATTCTTCACCAGTGGTCTGTCAGCATCCATGACTGTCTCCCACTAGAGTGTCGGAGCTCAAGCATGCTCATCAACCCATGAGAAGTTACACTTTCCTTAACCACCGTGGGATCTGGTGAGTTACGAGGCCAAACCAACATGGAAACCTGCAAGGAGCCTATTACCGGGGAACACCGCGTAAATTGGTTTGAACCACAAGGTCCTCAAAAGACACTAACGTGGAAACATTTTGGTCAGGGGGGGGGGTCATGAACCTGTATTTCTCTAGGAAAACCTAAGGTAGCTGGAAGAATTGGTCAACGCACTGGTTTCTAGGTTAGCGTCTTCAAGCTATTTTCAATAAAAAATGCTCATCCTGAGAGTTGCCAGGTTAGCGCAACCTGAGGCAACTTGAGTAATTGGTCATTTCACTGGTTTCTAGGTTAGCGTGTTGAAGCTGTGGTTCTTTACAAATAACATCAAATAATATTAAAAATGCTCATCCTGAGAGTTGCCAGGTTAGCGCAACCTGAGGCAGCTTGAGGAATTGGTCATTTCACTGGTTTCTAGGTTAGCGTGTTGAAGCTGTGGTTCTTCACAAATAACATTAAAAATGTTCATCCTGAGAGTTGCCAGGTTAGCGCAACCTGAGGCTGCTTGAGGAATTGGTCATTTCATTGGTTTCTAGGTTAGCGTGTTGAAGCTGTGGTTCTTTACAAATAACATCAAATAACATTAAAAATGTTCATCCTGAGGGTTGCAATGTTAGCGCCACCTGAGGCGCCTTCAGGAATTGGTCATTACACTGGTTTCTAGGTTAGCGTGTTGAAGCTGTGGTTCTTTACAAATAACATCAAAAATTCTCATCCTGAGAGTTGCCACTGAGGCAGCTTGAGGAATTGGTCATTTCACTGGTTTCAAGGTTAGCGTGTTGAAGCTGTGGTTCTTTACAAACAACACTTAAAAAACTCATACTGACCATTGCCATGGTAACGCAACCTGAGGCAGCTTGACGAATTTGTCATTTCACTGGTTTCTAGGTTAGCGTCTTGAAGCTGTGGTTCTTTACAAACAACATTTAACAAGCTCATACTAAGCATTGCCATGTTAGCTCAACCTGGGTCGCTTGAGGAATTGGTAATTACACTGGTTTCTAGGTTAGCGTGTTGAAGCTATGGTTTTTTACAAACAACATTCAAAAAACTCATACTGACCATTGCCATGTTAGCTCAACCTGGGGCAGCTTGAGGAATTGGTCATTTCACTGGTTTCTAGGTTAGTTCCTTGCAGGGAATATATAAACATTTCATCCTGAAAATTGCCAGGTTAGCTCAACCTGAGGCAGCTTGAAGAATTGGTATTCCCGAGTACCTATTTAAACATCAACCGTAACTGCCCACCTCTGTCCGCCCTGTCTATCCACCATGACACGCCGCGCTTGCATCAGCAGGCTTCCCTTCCCCCAATGGCACGGACTCACGCAAACGCACTTGCCACCGAGGTCATGCAACACCGCATGGCACAGCGACATCACCTTTCGAAAGCTTTAGCTGTTAGTCTACTGAAGAATCACTATTCTAATGAAGGTTTTTGTGGGGGAAAAGGAAGACCCTTCGACCTGGAGGTTTCTTGCATTTTTGATACGAGTTTAATAACGGACTTTATATATAATTTTCATGGATTACTTTTTTGGTTTGAAACTCTTTCCAGGTGACCCTATTTTGGACCCCCCGATTTCAGGGACCCCCTATTAGAAAAAAATGCGACCGAGGTTTCCTTATTGGGGGGGGGTGGGCCCTCGTGTTTTTTAATAGGTGGAAGGGATTAATTACACTGGCTTCTAGGGTAGCGTTTTGAAGTTGCGGTTCCTTTGAAAAGGAACATTAAAAAAGAAATAACACATCCTGAGCATTGCAATGTTAGCTCATTTTCCGCCTCTCGGGCCTGTCCGGTTTCTTGGTGAAACAGGCCATTGTCTGTGGAGACCCCAAAACCAACATGAAATCATGCGCCGAGTGCTAAATTAGCCTCTTGAACATGTTTGTATTTGCTCCGTAGGTTTGGGAGCTCCTGCGTAGTGTGCCCAGCCCCTGACAGCCATCGGTAACCGGTAACCATATTGGTCACTGTATTGAATCTAGACCTGTCCAATGGCAAGGTGGGCCGACCATTAAAGAATGGGAGTGAACTCCACAAGTCCAGAGCTCACTAACATGGAAATAATCTAAAATGGAGCTCTCAGCTTCTACCGTGACAAAAACAAGTCCAGGGCTCACTAACATGGAAACTCGACAAACAACAACTAACAAAGAAACTGACAGCCCGTGCAACGACAATTCGGGACAGGTCCACTAACGTGAAAAAATAAAAAAATAATCCATTTGCTGTTTCTACGGTGGTTAAGGGGAGAGTACCCAGCTGTATGATAAGGTGACCTGAACCATGCTTCAGACCAACAAAAAGCGAAGCCTGAAGGAACCCCGTAAAGCAACGCCCCCGTCTCCAGCCCGATTGGTGGCCTGAAATGAGGGAACGCATCGTCTCCCATGACCCAAATGATCTCGATCACGTTCGCAAGACCTTGCAAAGAAGCTGCCTTCAATCGACTCCTGCGACCTTTGGACTCTTGAAAGTGCATGTCGCGATACATATCCCATCATATCCCTGGGGAAGATAAGAAGACTCTCCAAAGCTTGGGAAAATGTCACTCAAGTCTATGAAATCTATGAACATTAAACTGAGCCAGCCTTACAATGAGATCCGCGTGCAGCACACGATCGACCCTATTGAAATCATGACCGCATCTAAATGAAGCCGTGCTCCTTGCTCCAAGAGTTTGACCTGGGACAGACTGCACCGAACATCGCCTCACATTCCTAGCGAGACACCTGCTTGAAAGCCCGTGAGATGCGTCATGGCCGCAGACATGTTGCCACGCAAGGCGCGGAGATGCTCTAAGTTGCTTCCCTTCCTTCGCGCGCTGCTGGATCGGTTGATGAATAAAATGAACAGAATGGACATATTTTACAATCCAACTATTTGTTGCGATGCTCTTCGCAATGTATGCATGTATGTATGTATGAATGGATGTATATATGTGTGTATGGATGTATGCATGCATGTATTTTAGAAAAACATTTGTGCATTGTCTTTAGGGCGATGTTTCGATCTCAAATCCAACAAGGGACCATCCCAAAACGATGGAAAGGCCCGAGGCCTCCAAAAACGCAGGGGACGAGCACACATCACAAAGCTTGCTATCTTCGTCAGCCCAGCATCCCTCGAAGGATGGCAAAGGGATCCTCACGTGTACAGCTCTGACTAGCAACATGTGCACATGTGCAAATGCTTTAGCCACTGCTTTAACTTTAGCCGTGCATTCCTGAAGAGAGTTCTTGGAGAGAATGGAGCAACCAGCACCTTTGTGGCTAGGATACATTAAGAGCATCCTACCTGGAGCCCAAACCTGCACCGCTGAAAGAAGCACAGAAAACTGGCAAGCTCCCAAGCAACTCATTCATCATGGCCCCTGGCTCAACCCTCCTAACACTGCTGCCGCGGCTCCAGCATGACCCAATCTTCCTTGGAGATGATGAGCTCTAGAATTCTCAATCGCACCAGGTCCGTTGCCAAGATCGATGATTGATCTTCCAATTTCCTCCGCACCGACGCACGGGATGCGAAGGGATTTCGGAAAGGAACCTGCTGCGAAGGACACTTGAGACGAGTACCATCATCCCTCCTGATACTTCCAGCCCACCCCCAGTGAGTATTCCAAGGCACTTGTACGCCAAATGCCCAAAGGGTTGAGGCTGCACGTAAGCACCAAGCAAATTTAGCTCACTCTGTAGGCCCCTCCAGGCAGCTCGCAAGCAGTTCAAATGCCCCAGATGGAATGGAGCAAAAGATCCAGGATACCAAAGGATAGACCCTTCCTAAGTCGTAAATCGTAACATTGCTGTATCATCTGGCGCATCTGCAAGAATATCAACGCACTGATCTAATCAATGGGATGGTCACCTATCATACCATACCATACCATACCTATCATGCTTTGGATTGTTCACTTAGACTTTGATCCTGCTACATATCTTATATCTAGATCCCGTTCTGTCACGGTCCGAAAGCAAACCACTGAGTTTCGGATCATGTCGTTCTGGGATGTACTCGTGTTAGCTTCTGCTCCACAAGAGTAACATCAACAGTGAAAGAAGCTGTCACGTCTAAGAAAGGCCTTGCAAATCCTTGAGTCATCAATGGGGGACCACCCTCAATGCATGCTCTTCCTCATGTTTCCTTGTGTCCGATCACGTGCAAGCTGCCATTGGAGTCTCCTCTGGTAGGCTGAGCTTCTCCTCGGTTGTCTAGGCGGCCGGAACTCATGCGCAGCAACAAGAAACCCAACCCGGATGCTGCATAAATGAATGCATCCTCGGAGATTGATATTATTGATATGTCACAACCAGGATGAGGAATCATGCGAATCCATTGGTCCTGGTATTTGATGGCATTTGCATCAGTACAGGAAAGTTCAACCCCCCAAGTGGTTTCCAATGGTTACCATGACTGGCAGAAGAGATAACCATCATCAGAATCCACGCAGTGCGTCTACCCTGTTCGACTCACCAGCTTGGGAGAAACGCCGTCCGCAAGGCCCCAAGCTTCCCCAGGGAGCAACCACAACAGGCGCGACCAACTCAAACCCAGAATCCAACGGAAAGATCTCTGGCCAAGGGCCTGCCTCGCCCAGAGCAGTGCAACCATCACAGCGCATGGCATGCAGCCGGGTTCTCAGTCGGTGCTGAAGACTTGATTCACCCATCCTTCATTGGTTTGGAGTGTTGGGCCATGTTGGGCCCAAACATGATCAGTTTCAAGATTGCATCTAGCGCAGTCGAGCCAAACAAATCATGAAAACCACTGAAGCACGTGTACGATGGTCTCCTGTGCTGGGACAAGGAGGTGAAATGTTGGCACTGGTCAGTTCAGAGGTATTTACCATCCCTCCAACACCCCCCGTTTTTTGATGAAAATTGTCTTCTACGGGTCAAATTTACACTTCCATGATTCTTGGTCGGAGAGAGGATTATACTTTTGACATGCTTAGTAGTACGGCACTCCGTGATCAGGAAGTTGGAGCGGGGGAAAAAAGAGTCAAACCAAGGCCATGTTCAACTATGTTACATGGAACATGTGGATGTGACTGTGAGTCAAATCCTGGCCATGGCGCCATGGCCAGAAAGCGAGCATCCACAAATTGAGCAGAAGCACTTGGAATCGCCCACCTGGGTGTTCACCTATCCTGTTTTATGTTTTATGTTGACTCTTTCTAAACAATTAAAACGTAACGGGTTGAACACTCCTGGCAGTGCAGCTTTTCAGCATTTTGGGGATAGATAATTCACCTCAGCACGTTCAATCTTGAAGTAGCTGCTCCTGTACTGCAGCCACCTTTCCTTGAATATTATGTTACCACTAAGTATTTTGTTCCAATCCACTATTGGTTTGATTTGGTTTGCATCCCTTTCTCTTGTTGAAAAAAGTTCCTCCATTCCTCTCTGTTTTTCTATGCACTTCTTGCCCCCTTTTCACATCTTTCATTGTTGTTTTTTCCATAAGATGCTCCTATTCAAAAGAATGTGGCATCTTTTTTGAGAAGTTGCTTACTGTAGCTCTTTCTATGATCAAATTCTGAGAAGCAACGCACACAAAGGATTGATTGGCCGCTATCATTGCAATATGTTGTTGCTCTTTAATTTTAGCTCCTTTTGGTTAATCAGCGGCTCCTCTCTTCTAGGATAACTTGTTTCATGCAGTACTTCCAAAGTTGTGATCCTTGCAAAGGAACATCCTTCTGTGAAGATCAAGTCCTTAATGGAGGCATTCATACGGTCAATGTCCTATCAATCAGGGATGAGAATGGTAAAGAGAATCAGTATGGAGGAGGTTTTGGATAAGGTGGTATGCTTGCACGTATATAGGTGCAGGTTCCATAAAGGGTTGTGTGTTGCTAAAGATGTGAAGGCACTTATAAAATACTGTGTTGAAGAATCAGATCATACCGTATCATATCCAATTCCATTGTTAGAATCGTAGAAGGAAAGGATGATCGTGTCTTTCCAACAATTGGATTGGATATTATCGCATATCATGAAGGAAGGAAAGGATGGACTTTTAAAGTTCGATCCTGAAATTTGCTTCATATATAGTAGACTTGTAGATCAATTTAAGGAACACCTCTGTAAGACTTTGTAACTATATATAATCATCAAATGCAACATCAAACTTGCTAAACAAATGCACTGCCACAACTGCCCGCCCTCTAACAAAAGATGTAGAACCAGTCTGGTAGGGGGGTTCTTAATCAACAGTCAACATTCGTCAATCATTCGTCGATGATCGACAGCCATGGCATGCGCCATGTTTCTGCCAAGCTGCCCGGACGGTCCGGACAAAATGAAGGAGACCGCCTCGGACTCCGAGATCGCCGCCTCGCGCCGCCAAAAGACCTCCTCCGCTTCACGGTAGGGGTCCTGAGCGCGGATGTGTGAAACCCCGTGTGCCTTCGGAGCGCGGACCTGGGACCATTCAGAAGACAAGGGCGGCAAAGAACAAGGGCGGGGGGAGCGTTTCTCCAAAAAAGCGGTGGACACTCTGAGCAGTCAGTGCCCTTGCAGGTAACGTCGTGCACGGAGTGTCGAAGCAGCACATGAAAGATCCCCAAAGCTGAAACAAAATAGAAGTTCTGGCGGTTCGGTCGCTCTTCTCAGCTCTCCCAAACCGGTAAGGTGAGCGACGGAAACCGTCAGAGCAGGTTGTTGGGCTTTGGGTGTGCACACCCAACTTGTGCCAAGGCTGGAAAAGGTGGTGGAACATGGTCTGCGGGACTCCTGGACTTTCCGAGCCCTCCTATCCTTGAATAAGCTCCAAGCAAGCGGAGTTTTTCTGAGTGAATTATTGCAGCGCTTTTGACACCTCACTGGGAATACCGTGGGCTAGGACAGTGGCCATGCCCGGCCTCGGCACTGATCAAGGTCTCTCCATCAGTGAGCAACAGGAAGCCGCTCAAGGTCTTTACAATGTAGGCCCCCCTCCTTCTGGCGGAGAGTCACATACACACACACACACACTTACACATGCGTGCCAGTTTAGCACAAACAAGTCAATATTTCAAGCAAGGATAGCGAGAGGGCGCCCTTTTGTACATTCACAGGCTGCATTTGATCAAAATAATGCTAACTATATGTGGTGGTTGATCAAACATTCCTTCTGGCTGAAAGGTCTTTCTTCACCACTAACAAATATACTTTCGCGAACTCCATGTTTAACTTTCGCGGGGGGGTATATCCTCCAGACATCTTCTTGGTTTTAGTGGTTTTACATAACAACCTAACATAGCCTAACCACTTCCATCTGTCTGTTTAGGGGTTTGTTCTGCACCCAAACAAACTAGCCGGCCTCTTCCTAGGTGGTCGTTTCATGCTGATCTAGAACAGCAGCGAGAATTCGCGTGCACAAACGATCCAGGACAGACACCGCGTGTACACAGGATCCGGATTCTGCGAGTCCAGGCAAACCCGGTCCCTTGGGCAGGGGTCAACAGGCCTTCACATTCGCCGACGCTTTCGCGGAACTTTCGCGAATCTTTCGCCAACAAATGTCGCGTCATTGGTGGGTTTCCAGGCCCAAAGCGAAACAACAAAAGAGTTATATACTATACAGCCTAGGGATTGTGCATAGCAAGTGTGCACTACATATATATTTGTATATGTATACATAGTTCTAACATAGAGTATGTAGGATCTTTCGCAGATCTTTCGCGAATAAACAATTTACTTTTCGCGAACTCAAATGAACAACTTTCGCAAACAACTTGAAGAGGCCCTCAGTGACATAGGCCTTATGTCGACCTTTCGATCCACTATCATACATACATATATGTATATCTACAGTAAAGATTTGTCAGTTGCATAAGTCAAAATCCACACGCATCGCTTTTAATGACACTCTATGCAACGATGCAAGCTGTAGGTTCCATCTCACTGCATCACGCTTCTCCAGAATGGCTTGTTCCATCGTGGCCGGCACTCCTCCACGTCTCTGTCTGCACTGGCACCTAGGACTCTAAGACTCTCCAGCATTGCAACCGATTGATTGCACCAAAAAGCATCAAGTGGGAGGGAACAACATCCCATGCCAGTCAGCAAAATCCACAAGTGAACAAATTAGGTCTAAGCCCTGTTACTTCCAGGACTCCTGAAGAAGAATAGCAAAGGATTTGATTCAGAACGATTTGCGATTCATCAAGCTCAACTAGTAACTAGAAATTTGTCTTGAAAAACTGCCTCTTATATTCTCTGACCTGTCTGGGTGCCTTTTCTGGACTTCGACCCTTCTTCTCGCGCATGGACCACCATTTTCACAACACCTCTGAACACCTTTGAAGGGAAACAAAGCCTCGAACAAACACACTCACGCCTATCCCAGTTTCATGCCAAGATTCTGATCTGCCAAATGCTGGGATTCTCTGCTTCTTCCACTTTACCGTCCTGCTGGCCGGGGTGACGGTACCGCAATGTACTTCCAGCCAAACACCTTGCTTCATACCGTTTCACTGCTCGAAGAAACCTCTAAGTCAAAGCCGCCTAGAAACTCCCTTTGCCCTGCTCTGCAGCCAACAGCATCAGTGATTCTTTTGCGAACTCAACTGCTTCAGGTGGTGAGCTGTTGGAGGGTGGCATGTGCTGGCGTTTGCATTTCTCTCTCTGTCTCTCTCTCTCTCTCTCTCTCTGGCTCTTGTGTCTGCACATGGATTTACGCAGGACATGCACGAAGCTATCAAAGGATCAGATCAACCTTGAGTAAGTAGAAAAATGATGAAAAAGGTACATAGAACCTGAAATGTCCCCGCGATATCCTAACAGCATGTCACAGCACGTCGAACACTGATAGCATGTTCGAACATATTTTTCTTCTTTTTTTGTTTCGAACATGCTGTTTTTTTTCGACTTGAAGGAAACGCATGGGTGTTCCCGCATACAGAAAACCATACGGACTACAGGACATCCATCATCTCCTTCAAGACCCAATTGGAGATCCTTCGCCCACAGGGCATGGTGAGATCAAAGGCTTGGCGGAGCTTCGCCCCTGGATCTCGGAGCGTTCGCCTTAGTCGATGAGAACCGACACCGAGCCTTGAAGATGAGGAGCCAAGGCGGAGAAACATGTCCAGAGGGGTAAAACCTGTATACTGTATACCCTAAGGTCGGAAGTACGCTTGCAGAAGTTCCTGACCTCCAATGGCTCACCTGGAAAAACCGTAGGAACTGCCATGGAAATACCTCAAATAACCCCCGCCACCCTGCTTCAACAAAAAATGATCCATCTGACCACCAACTGATAGTATGCACTGTGCCCCACTTGCAAGTGGCAGCCTCGCAAACCCAGCAAATGAGACGCTTCACCTCGACAAGTGCAATTTGGATCCGCACGGGTCCCAAATCAGCGCAGCCCACCAGGTATTTGTTTCTCTTCGATTTGCATCATCCACTCTATGTACAAACTAATATGCGTAATATGATGCTTGCTTATAGGATTGTTTCCACTCCTTTCGATCGAGCTCGATCGAGCAAAGGAAGCAAAGCTCCACATCTTCTAGAGTCACCCGATCTGATCTCTTGTCCAATGGTGTGAATACAACAAGCACTGATGACATCTTAGCACATAGGCCTCGAGGCTATCTGCTCTTTTCCGCGTTGACCGTGCAAAAAGAAAACAACACTGTTTGTTGATGTTTCTTGATTCTCGATTTATAGGCTGGACGAAAACACAGCGGAATGTCGAGTGTTCAAAGTTCAGCCAGAAAAATCTCCGGCCACAGAAAAATTGGCACAAGTGTTCCTGGGCGTAGTAATAGGAAAAAGGAATTTGAATGAACGACGCATTTGCCGGCTCTAAGGCTACGCAATTGGTTCACACCAATTATACTGTCGCTTGGATCAGCCCTCTAGGCCATGCTCTCAAACCAGGTTCCTCTGAACACGCCACCCTGTGACAGACCTCCTTGCCAAGTATTGATTGATGCACTATACCTTCGCCACACGCCCAATTCGCCAACAGCCCAAAAAATGCAATGGCTTTACAATCGTTGCATCAGCACTCATCAGCATCCCTTCGACCCAGCGCCTCTCCGCAAAGCCGAGAGTTGGATGGAACTCCGACTCCCAAAAGCGCTGGAATCATGACGGACTGAATCAGCCAGGTGACCCAGTGGCATCATCCCTCCTGACATAGGAGCTTCACATCAGCTGTCTCTGACGGTTTTTGTGGCGAAGTCAGAGTGACGGTCCAAGAACTTTCCCCGCGGCCCTGCTGTTAGGGTTCTTGGGAAAGATGTCATGCACGAGTAGGTTAGTAGATTGATCATGGAGCGACGATGTATGCACTTATATACACTGATGCTTCTTCGGTGCAGCTGAGTGAGAGAGATGGATACATGTTGTATCATCTGGACTACTTTCACCTTCTCAACTTGCTTGCGTGCGTTGCAGGTTTGGCAGGGTCCAACTCCTTGCCCAACCAGCTTCTGAGGATTTGCCCCCGAAACATAGCGCCCAAACCCAAAACGGCACCGTTCGGCACCGCTCTTCGTCATGGCCGTCCTCAAGAAGCAGTAGCTCCGCGTGGCCGGCGCGGCGGCCGTGAAGCTGCTCACGACGCGGAGTTGGTGCTGGCGAGCGGCTTCCAGCAACGTTTCTCCTGGCCAAGAGGAGAAACGACATAGACACTCCCTGAAACAATCATGGAAATAGAACATAGGCCCCTGGAAGACCATTTTCCTCTATAAGTGGGGCCTGCTCAGCTTCCATGACTACTCATGATTTATTGAGGGATGGTAAACACCCAACGAAAGGGATTCAAAAATCCAAGAACACCCACATAGACAGCGGGATGAAAGTCATCACACCCACGACCTCTCTCATGTGGCAGCTTTGAAGGCATGGCTATGCCAACGCTATGCCAGACCGACTATATACATAATGACGGTGTACATCAACGAGAATTTGATGCATAGAAACCGGCTTGAACCCAGAGGCGCCGAAGGAAAGCAGTTCGGTTTGAAAGCAGTTTGGCTCAGTGATGTCAGGACGATTCTGCGCAGATTCTGCGGGTGTTCTGCACAGAAAACCGTGGCGGGAAAAGTGGAACTGAACCACACATCAACACTCATCCAGCATCGAGAACATACAGTATCAAACATGAAACCAACCATGAAGCGAATCGCATGGTATACCCGAAAGCGTTGATATACAGCAGTGCTGAGTAGATGGCACCAGCCACAAGCCATTGACCATTGTGGGCTGGCTTTCTGCAATGTTCTCCATATACTCCTGGTTGTCCGGGCAGGAGACCCGCGGTCTGACGTCGCACCCACGTCTCAAACTTACCATGGTTTTGACTCGTGCTCAGCTGGTGCAGCTGGTCCGCATGCAGCTGAGCATCGGTTTATTCTGGCCCCGGTGTCAAAGTCTAGCAGCGAGGAATCCCGTTTGAACTTCTTCGCCGGCCTTGGCAACTGTGGGAGACAAACTACTGCGCATCAAACAAATGCCAAAGAGAGTACCTGCAACAATGAAGATGAGCTGGAGCTGAAAGGCTCCAAGACTCCAAGCCTTTAGGACTGATTTCACCAAGTCGCCATTAAAAAAACACCAAGTCGTTCAAGTTGCCTCCTGAAAGGCGAGTCAGTGATCCTGCGCAAAGTCGACCAACTGAAGGTGTTGGAACCAAATCCCTCTGCGCATAGCAGCCATGGGTGTCTGAACGATGCTGCCCAACCAACGCATGGCAGGCTCCACGTTACCTACATGCGACCTGGCTCCTCTTTCCACTCATCAACCACCTCATCAGAAAGATCACCATTTCATCAATTTTGACCAGTCAAAGCCCACACGTTGACGCAAAGCCAAATCAAAAACAAACACCAAGACCGATTCTTGCCATTCATTGGTGCCAGCCCACCCTCCAAAAAATCAACCTCTCAAAATCTCTCAAGAACACTGATCACATTTCCCATCATTTCCCAACTCCCGGGTTTTCGCCAAGGCCACTGGCTCGTCGCCTGGTCGTTCGTTTCCACCGGCTCAGCAGCAGAGCGGCGCTGGAGGTTTCGCCGGTGGATGGGCTCCAGGGGAAGAACGAGGACGACGTCCGAAGGGCGAAGGATACCTGGGTGAAGGGCGTGGGTGGTGCAACGGGAAGGAGGATCTGACTCGCCCGCGGAGTTCCAGCATGTTGGGTTCTTGGACGGCGGAACCCAGCGAGAGAAGAATCGTAACACTGCGGATGTTAGTTGCATGATGTTGGCAAACCCTTCTACGAAGTCTTGCTTCGCTGAGGAGGTGCAAAAAAAGCGAAGCGATTGAACATGATGGATAAGATCTTTATTTTGTGGGGGGGCGGTGCCCTGCGAAACGGCGTTCGTCTCGTCTAGCCCGCATCCAAGCGGCCGAGTTCCAGCGCCTTGGAAAGCACCTGGCTGGAGTGTCGGTGGACTCCGCAGCTTGGATGCTCCAAGGCGAGAATGCTTGGGCGACACAAGGATTTGTCCAACTATGTGACTATGTCCCGTAAAGGAAGTGATGGGATGTTACATGATTTGATGTACAGGATCCAAGATGATCCAAGGTATGAAACTATGCAAAAGGCAAGGATGTTCCTGGCCAAAAGGCGGACAATCACCCAAACACCCACCCTCTCCCCCTCCAAGACTATGATGAGAAGCATTGTCTTGTTATTACATGTTGCTACCTTGTCGTCTCGACTGTGGCTTGCAGGCACCAGGTCAGCTCAAGCCATGGTCTGGCACCAGGCTGACCATTACTCATGCAACTGACCTACTAAACACTGAAAACGCCACCATCCATTTTGAACATGTTGCAGCGACTGCCCAATACTTTGCAAATTCCTGTTGTTCAACATGCGGTGCAGATCATTTTGACCTCTCTGTCTCCGTGTCTCTCTCTCTCTCTCTCTCTCTGTGCTGCCTCAGCTCTGTTCTGCCCCAAATCATTTCAACTTATTTGGCGGTCTCGAAGGGAGACTGCCGGCGTCTCTGAGAAAATATCAATGTAGGGTGGGTTGTTCGCATGTTTTTGAATCACGAAAAGCAATGTTGTGCGGGTGTTGGAGCACTTTCAAAAAATTGTGTTTAAAAACTAGCCCAAACAGTCATCAACATGTCTAGAACTTGAAGCCGTGGACAGTGCTGTGAGACAGATGACACTGTTCTGAAACGGATGAAGATATATGAGAATGCCACGCCACCGATGATGCTCTTATGATCACCGATGACGATAGTACGAAAACCGGTCACAGTGTCATGAAAAAGTAAGGAACTCCCAGGGCCACGAAAGCAGCACCATGCCCAAACCAACTTACTCTAGACTCTTGCCTGAACAAAACTAGTCAGAAAACTCACCAAACAAGTGCTGCTGCTGCTGCTGCTGCTGCTGCTGCTGCTCCCTGCAGTCAACCTTATGTAATCTCCATCTTGAGGTCAGAAACGCATCAGGCCCACCATATATGAAAATGACTATGAAGATGTAAAACCATTCTGGAGACGGCTGGTTGTATCAATCAACAGTCAACATCTACCCAACTAGCCCCCGACCTATTCCCTTCCTCCGCACGAAGGCCCGCCTGGCCAGTGCAGTTGAAGGTCACCCGCCGGCGCCGGTCCTGCCGCAGCCACCGGATGAGCTGTGCCAAGGACCGGAGGAAGATCGCGGTGCCCTCCTTGGCGCCACGCTCTTAGCCACCAGAGGTACCGGACACCACCAAAGGTACCGGACACCTCTAGTCCGGTTTGTACCCGCATTAATCAATCAAGCTGAGCCCAGAAGAGGAGCGGTGACGTCTCCGATGATCCGGTGACGTCTGGATGATGCATTCTCGGTGTTCTCTCAAGCTGAGGTGACGAAGCAAACGGCGAGCCATCCAGTTTGCTCTGATGTTAGCTTTCCCAACCAAGCACCCCGTGATCGCCCATGATCGAACAAGCTTCACTGGACAGCCAAGCGCCTGGAGCCAAGCGAATGGACCTGGCCGGACTCGAAGGGAGCCGCGGAATGGATCTGTGACCGAGGGCGAGGCGGGCGAGGCAGTCGGCGCGGGTCAAACCAGGGCGCTCCCATCAAACAGAAGTTCCAAAAACAACTGAGGCATGGCTACACTTCCTGAAATCATCATGGAACTGGATGGCATAACCACGAAAGGATGACCATCTTCATCCATCTTCCATCATTTTCTGAGTGCCAACCAGGTGGCGAACTCCAGTTCCATGATTGGGGAGTGAGTGCAGGCTTCCACTGGATGCAGTCCCACATGTGTTCTTGGCTGAGGGTTCTAGCCGGTCAAGCTTCTGAAATCTGATGTTGAAACGCGACCAGCCAATCCATACACCGGTCAAGCTTCCTTGCGGCTGTTCCAAGCTGCAGTTTGTTTATATAATATCATTGTTTATCCATGTCCACCGTCTAAGCTTACAAATCGCATTGGAGCTGGTAGATGCCGATCTTCGTAAAAGCAACCTTGACATCTTGCGGCCTCACCGGTCATCTGTCCACTTCATGGAGACCCATGGACCCATTTTTTCCTGGCCAAACCCGCCGACTCGGATTGGTCATCAGAACATGGGTCTTTGACGGGTGAATTCTGGTCAGGGGTCCGTCTGCCCGGGGTGTTAGTCTGCTGTCCGGGTGTTTGCGACGGTCTTGGTCCATTCTGTCAGGGTGTTGGTCTTGGTCCATGGTTGTTCCAACCTCCAACCAGCATGAATTGTCTATTGGAGGCCTGCAGTAGCGCCAGGATGAGATCGTCTCAGGGTCCATCGTCTGCCCGGGGTGTTCGTCTGCTGTCCAGGCACTTGTGATATGACGGGTGAAAGGTCACATCAGCCATCACTTCACCTTCAGGGCCTGGGTCTCGAAAGGGCGGGGTCATGGAGAAAGGAGAACCCTCACCGACGGCACTGACCTGAAGTGGTATGAAGTCTGACTCGCATGGGATTCAAGGAAACCGCTTCTAAAACTCTGCTGTCAGCAAAGCCAAGGTTTCCCAGAGTTGGACGCTTAGGGCTTAGGCTTAGCTCAGGGCCAATCAAAAGTGCAAAGTCACAATCTCAAATCCATCATGGTAACGTCCAAACGTCAGCTGTTGCAGCAGAAGCAAGACGCACAGTGCACTATAAGGCTAGAGAGAGAACAAGGGCAATAATGAGCACAATGAAAGAACCAATGCACCCACTCACCACACACACCAAGAAGATCACCATCCAATACAACCGCCTACAACCCCCCCGAACCATCAGACTGTCTTAGACTGAGACCTTCTTCGAGCTTCGGCCCGCGCCCAGGACTGTCACCCAAGGGGCAGTAAATCGGCGCTAAGGACCGCCAGGTGCTCTTGCCCGAGCCCGTGGGTGCCAAGATCAGCTGCCCAGACACGGCCACACCGCCCCCGCGCGGGGACGGTGTGGCCGCCGGCGGCAGCGCGTCCGGGTGGAAGAAGAAGAGCTCCACACACGAGCTGGCGGATGGAAGCCAAAAGAATCTCTTATGCTGAAGAACCTCGCGGGGAGGAAAACAAAGCCTACTACACCAAATGGATCAAAATGGGTTCTTTGATGTTTCTGAAGTGCCGTCTCTACTTGCATTCAAAAACTCCACAGTTGGCTTTAAAATGCTTTAATCCGTTTGCTGCTAGTAGCTTCTTGTTACTAGTAATGGCCTCCAACCTATATAATAGCTTCTAGCTACCAAAACTTTCCGATACAGGTCGATCAGCCCCACCTCCCAACGGCCAAGCTCAAGTGCTCCGGCGCCCGTGCATTCGCCCCACAGGCGGTAGCAAGGGAACGGCCTTCACACCAAAACACAAAGGTTGGCACCTCAGCGCCAAGACATGCACATCGGAACGCATCGTCGACTCGTCGTCTTCATCGACGATGAGCAAAACGGGTCCGATGTGATGGGTGATGGCAACAAAAGCACATCTAAAGATTGCAAACTGAGACCCTCAAGCGGGGACTGGGCGCCTTTGGAGCTCAATACCGGGCCTGGGCAAAGTTTGCGAAACAATGAACTGCTCAAAACCAAGCCATCGCTCGACGGAACTTGAGAGCCCCCCAACCTGAGCCTACCGCAGCCCACTGTGAAGAGCTCGTAAGAGTACAGGGGTCAGCTTGGCGGTGGGTTTGTTCCGAATTCTTGAATCCAATTACTTACAGCTGAAAGGGGAATTCGGATCCTAAAGCAAATCAACCTGTAGGCGAACCACAAAAACGTGCGAATGACACGATGAAACTCAAAATAAGAACCTGTTTTGCAAAAGCTTTAGCATTGAAGTTGGAGAAAAAACACCATCTGCACCCCCAAACTCCCTGCCAATGGTCCACTCACCTTCCAAGTGTGTTGACCATCAACATAAACCATGAACATCCATGAACCCAAATGAATCTGCTCACCTGGTACTTCAGCTTTTCTGCCAGCTCGAAGTAGAACGTCGAGGCTGGCGATGCCTCCGCCGCGGCCGCCGCAGCTTTGGCCGCAGCCTCGCCACCCGCGGCCTTCGCGGCGGCCGAGGGAGCACGGTGCTGAAGCACCTGTGGGGCGGTGAATTTTCGGAGTCCGAAAAGGCGTTCGGGTAATGGCCAGGACCACTTGGATCATTGAGTGGAACCATTTGGGTTGAGTTTCGGCCTGTTGGAGTCATAGAAGCAACCCGTTTCCTATCTCCAGGCCAGGATGGTTTGGTTCATCAACAGTCCACACGACTCTCCAAAAGAATGTCCTTGACCGCATCCCACCAGCAAGTCCTTGCCACCGGGGGTGGTGCCTTGACGTTCTCTGCTGGTGGAATCTCGTATGGGGCATCCACAGACACCGCATCTCCCACACAATTCCTGACAGAAAGGCTCTGGCAAAACACCAATCATGGAAACTCAGAAAGCATCGGGATGGCAGTGGATGGCAAAATGACCTCCTACAGGGTGCAATGCTGCTCAGTCAGCTTCCAGCTGCCGGGCAAATGCGTGTATCCGAGCTCAGAGTTGATGCGGCCGACTTGGCATGTTTATACCAGAGCCATCTACCTTTGGCCGCGTATGCTGCCACACTTCGAACAACATGCTACCTGGCACATGTTTCCTCACATCTCCCCCTCCTCTCGCCATCCCTAACCAAAGTCTACTTCATGGATGGTCGCTCGCGTCTCGCGCATACATGCACATCGTATGGCTTGAACACCAACACGATGCTGTAAGAAGTCATGAGTTCCGCTTGAGTCTGGCAGGACGCTTCACACATTTCATGATGTGTCTGCCCTTTCGGAATTAAAGAGGAATCAACGCAAGTCATGCTTCACAACAGCCACGGCCGCATACGCTTCGCCAGGCCTCGCAAAGATGGATATCACTTCAGACTCGACCTGAATCTCCTGATGGTTGCCGAGAGATTGCAAAAAGTGTCCTACGCAAATCGATTGATCTTACTTGCAAACCAAAGCGCATGCACAATGGCTCACACAACCATGATACACAACCGTTGACACCTAAGGTAGACTGTGGATCAATAACCCCCCCAATATGATCCAATATGGAGGTTAAAACATGTTAAACATGTTAAAAACCATTCTGGCAGGGAAAAAAATCCAACAGTCTATAAGAAAAACTGAGTGAACATCTTGGGGGTTGACGACCCCTTTTTTAATCATGGCAACGCACTAGAAAAACATGGATTGCCTATATATAGCCGACCCCAATCATGTCGGAGACAAACTGGATGGTGCAAAAGCATTGCACATGCCAGAATTATGTAAGTGTCAGAGTCACCGTCATTTTACATGAGACTGTTCGAACTTCAACTGTAGGTGCATTGCAAGATTTTGTAAGAACAAGCTCACTGGCCAAAGGCTACAAACGAAATACAACACCTCGGTCCAATCCCTCCACCTCCAGCAGGAACCATCTCTGACAACTGGACGGACTCGACAGTGGATAATGCTGGTTAGTGAAGGCATTTGTTCAAACGATTGTGATGATCTGTTAGAACTCGTTCACCGACATGTTAATGTATATAATACTATACCGGTAAAGAAATCTGCTTGGTCATGGGACGCACCTTATGACACACCTTAATTCATCCCCAGGTGCTGCGAAGATGGGGAAGCCTTCGCCGAACAGGTCCTTGCCTCGGCGGCGACGGGTGGCGTGTACGGCGTTGGCGCGCGCCGTACGGCCAGGTGGCATGGCCCGAAGAAGGGTCCAGGCAGTACGGCCACAAACCACTCCTCAGTGAGGAACCAGTGGAAGAAGCAGCATGGCACGCGTGGCCGCCCATGCGTTGCTAGCCGCCCCCCCCAGCCGCCCATGCTGAAACCAAGCAAACCATACTCTAGCACCTGGAAACGTTGGTCGCCTCCTGAATCCATCCTCAATCCTCTTCATTCATAGTTCCTCACAGCAGCCCACAGAAAGAATCCAGCTCCCTGAGTCTCCACAATTCCACCAGACTAGACTCTACCCACATGCAGCCACTCCCCAACTGCACCATGCACTCACTGGGCGCCACAGCTTGGAATCAAATGAATAGTGCGAGCTCTTCTTCAAGGAAGCCTTCAAGAGGCGAGAGCTATTCTGCGTCCAGTAGGTAGTATACTGGCTAGTTGCGCTTACCGCCTACTTAATTACGTCGAGCGGGCAAAAGCTCTCCGCCACGGCTCTGGCCGCCGCTGCACCAGACGTCGCGCCGCTGCCTCCGCCGCTGTCGTCTCCTTCGTCACGTCGAGCAGCAGCTGGGCGTCCGCGCTCCGGAGCTGTGGCGAACGCCGGAGGTGTCGCGCCATAGGCCGATGGCGATGTGCAGTGTGACAGGTTATGACGGTTACAGGTGAAGAAAGTGAGTGAAGAAACATCAACTAGACCGGAGAATCGCACTAGACTGGGATGCAAACATATGAAACATAACATGTAATGAAATGCATACAATTGCATAGGTTGGCCGGACGTGAAACGGCTTGTCACTGCCTTCGTGCACGGCCAAGAGTTGACCGACTGCCGTGGAAACCCGCCACCGGTCATGGGCGACAAGGAACGGCACCAGGCCGACACATGTCGACCGGGAAACAGTTCGGTCTTTAAGAGTGAAACTTGACTTGACTTTCTTGAAGTCAAGTGTCACTTCACATTTCTTGAAGTCAAGTGAAACAGTATACGGGGAGTGAGTGACACTTGACTTCAAGAAAGCACACACACACACTAAAGCTGCTACCCATGATCCATTACATGCATTTTGTCTTGAGCGGACAAATGCGGACAGTCGTGCCGTCATGATATCATGATATCCCGGATACGTTAGGAACGCTCCAGGATTCTTCATGAGGGTTGCCACCGCGGGGTGCCCTTAAGATACACCGCGCAAGGCAACTCAAAGGCAAAGTCTGCTCCTCTTCCGCCAGTGTCTCCGACCATTGCATGGCATTGGGCGGGAGAACCAGCACACTACCCAAGTCAGCATACTTGCCTCGGTGTCGCGTCCGACCAAACAAACAAACAGGGAAGCAACTTGGACCCCCAAATCATAAGAACAACAATGGCATCACCGAGTCCCAGCAAACGGGCATGGGGATTATGAGTGCGATGCCATCCAGCTCATACACACCGACACATGGACATGGGGCAGCGCTCATGTTATGTGCCATGAGGCTCATCAAGCTTCTCTGGCGATGTGCGCCAGGCGACCTGGGCATAGCCAGTCTTCGAGCGACATATGCAAAACCTTGCCAACGCACGCTCAGTCTTCCCAACAGGCAAGACTTGAACGGGGGAAGTGGTCAGCCAATGTCTTGGGAGTCTGCACCAAGGGTAACACTTCAACGGAATTAAGCTCTATAGGTTCTTGAGAAAAACCTTGTTTTTTCCTGAACCACTTGGCACGACCATCAATACACGGGCTAAGCGACCAGGTGGAGAACCTCCTATCTGATGATGAATAACTTACTGACCACTTCGAGCAGCAGTGGCCCACAAAATCAACAAAATCAACCCACGGTTCCCCCCCACAGCTGCGCCAACCCACGAGCGACCCGACATCGACTTTGCCGAATGCTCCGTTTGTGCATCTGAAGAGCTCGCTCGAGCTTTTGCCGCGGCTCGGTGCATCCACTTCGCCTGCCATCGTGTCCAAATGTTCGACGGTCAGGAGGAAGGAAAGGAACAAAGACGCCTTGTTAGTTTCTTGTTACTAGTAGTAATGGCCTCCAACCTAATAGCGATGGCCTCCAACCTACTATATAGAAGAAACATAGCAAAAAGACAGAACAACTACAGACGACGGATGGCCCGGGAGCGTGGAAGGAAAGGCTATGTAGAGGTTAAGTAGAACAAAAAGTCCTGCAACTGATTTGGATTGGAAATAGGAAAACTGGGCATCGCATCCCAAGTGTCGGAGGAATACGGGGACTTTCGCCTCCCCGATGACAAAGACGCTCTTGGCAATGCACTCAATGTTGCTCTTAGACCACTCGATTCTACAATAAGCGTCACTCAAATGGCAAAACTTCACAATATCCTTACGTCTGATTATATAATTAGTTGGGCCTCCCACGATTGTGTCAGTGTCAGCAGAACCCCGCTCAACATATCCCGCCCAAAGCCACCCCAGAATTGAAAATTATATAATGCCACTTGATGTACCCTTCTTGCTGCTTATGCCAGGTGTTGCCTCCACATCAGAAACCTTCCCGCATTAGTGGCACGGCTTCCTGCTCCAGATTTGCAAGAAATGCTGAAGGATAGCAAGCCGGTTTTCAGAGATGTCCAGCATAGACGAAACTTGTAGCTCACTGTTTAGGGTTCTTGTAACCTCAATCATTCTCGCCCGCGTCGCGTAACCCTGACTATCATCTTTGCCAAGTGTTGGCACCACATTAAAACACACCTCCAGAACTACCTCTACATTAATGGCAAGGCTTTCTCCCCCTTTGTTCATCGGTTTCAGACCCCGATGGCCCTGCCTCGTGGTCCGGCACTGCGGGTTCTTCGTGAAGGCCTTTCTGGGGTCCTGGAAGGAGACGAGCAGGGGTGAAACTTGCAAGGTGCTACATGGTGGTGCTGGTTTCTTCCATCATTCTTAGGGATCGCCCCGTAGTCTGCTAGAACAAACGGCTTCCCAAGGGAAGCCCATGTGCGGAACTGTTGGGAGGATGCTCTTGATCTTGTGTGTGCGTGTGTTTGAGCAAATTGATTCATCATGATCTTTTTAATAATTTTTAACTGTCCACACATTCAAGTTTCACAGGGTGTTGTTAGTAGTCCGTTCTTTCTATCTTTCATGTCTTTCATGCTAGTGACAAGTGCAAATAGTGGATGCTCAAACATTATGATGCTGAGGATGGGAAGAATGAACAAGTGCGTGATCCTCCAATAAAGCCATATACACTCTTAGGGTGCCCAGGCCTAATTAAGCTTCGTCAAATGTGTGTTTCTGGTGAAGTCTAACAATCACCGATTCGCTGCGCTTCATTAATCATTGTTCACTCTTTCTGGGACGGATGTCAGTCTTTAAATGTCTTTAATCTTCATCAGGGCAACTGTCTCGATACCGGTTCATTCTTAGTCCCTTGATTTCATTGATTCACACATCAAAGACTGCAGGAAGTTCAAAATGCCCCTCCTGGAAGCATCATCCTTGCAGAGTGCCACCTGAAGGACTCATTCGATGTGTCACATCTCGCTGCGATCTTGCTGCGAACATGAAACCCTGAAAAAGAACATGCATTGGCAGCCATTGGTGTTGTTTCCGGTGGGACTTTCATACTTCCTTACATGCTTCAATTCACCCTTCATCCAGCTCGACCTCGCGAGAAGGTGGCTCAACCTCAACCTTTTTGGGTTCAATTTCAGATCCTTCAATCGCATGGGGCCTCCAGTCGTGTGGGGCAGTCTGTCTCTCAGTGGATTTCTTGATCCGACCGGACTGAAAGGGCGCACTGGAAAAAGAACGCATTCCATTGAGTTTCATTGAGACTCGCGGTTTTGGGATGTTCCAATATCCAAGAGCCTTGATATGTCTTTACTTGACCCCGCTAATATGGTCATCAACAATGCGCGTACGGTCACCGGCCAGCAGGAAGCAGTCGACCAATGTCACCAGCAGTCCACACACACACACACACACTCATGGATGAGCGTTAAAGGTACGTGCAGCATGCTGCAATGCACCCAGGGCACATGTTTTCATGGCCAAAGGCCCCCCGGTCTGGGTCTTGAAACGCATGACCACGAGACCTGCATTTTCATTTATGCTCATGCCCTCCCTTCTCGGGCCGCCTTAACTGTTACTATATATACGCGAACGAGCTCTTCATACTTGCGCCAGCGGCTAGTATGGTGCATGGGCGAGCAGGTGGAAGTTCCAAACGCCAATCACCAACCACAACAATTCTCATGCAGACTGCTCTTCAATTCAATTGATGCCCGTCGCCGCTGGTGCTAGGTTCCACCAGATCGCCCGAGGGCAACGGTGGCCCGTTCGTTTCGTTACACGTGCGATCCGGTGCCTTTGACACTGGCGGCCGGCAGGGTGGAGATGCCTTCGTGGTGGCTTTGGCTAGACCTTGGAGTCTTGGAGTTGAACATCCACAAGAGTGGACAACGCGTCGTCGACTGTACAACTTTGCAGTGTATAAATGAACAAATGTGACGGAAAATAAGTCAGGCATATAGACAGAAATTGGCATGCAATTATAGCACCTCAAAAATGCTACTGTCAGTGTACGAATCAATTATATAAGTCAGTGGGAAGTCTTGGGTTTAGTTTTGACATGCTTCAACTAGCGTATAATATACATTCCTTGAAAAAAAGAAGCTGGAAAATCATCTGTTTGCATTACCCTCCCCAGAAGATGAACAAGATGTGCCAAAGTATTTAATAATATTGAATAGAAGTGAGATGCTGAGGTGGATGCAAACAAAACGGTATCTATCACCAACTGGTCACCTCGGGTCCGGAAAAAGCGTCACACCCTTGTTACTAGTAGCGATGCCCTTGTTACTAGTAGCTTCTTGCTCTCCTGCTTTCTACAGTGTTGCTCCCCAGCTGCTGGCCACTGCCGGCCGCGCTTTTGGTGCGGACGTGGGCGATTTGGGCTGCTCCGGGCGGGGCATCTGTTCCACAGACCTGCAACAAACAGCGAAACTCGTGAGACGATGACTTCAAGAAGGTGCGTGCATGCACCACGCTACGCCTTGGCGTGCGATTTAAGAGCTCTACTCACTGCGAGCTCGCATCTATTCACACATGGTCTGAACAGTCGGGCTTCTCCCCCAACTCTTTTTCCAGCGTGTATCCACGCTGGTCCCACAAATGCCTACACACAACGAGTGGGCGGCTACGGAAATCGCAAAAGGTCACTGGCTTCCACGCCAAGTCCGGATGACAGATGTACAATTCGCAGCAGCGTCTCAGACACGTCGTGTCCGTCCAAAAGCCGCGCCTCTCGGCGACGGCGGCTGCCACACCTTGGGCTGCATCCATGAGCTGGGCCACAGCGGCGGCCAAGGCCTGTGGTCGGTCTGGCGGTGGGGTGTTGGGGGGGGCCTCGGTGTGTCTGCATCGCTTTCGAGTGGTATGGTCGAATGACCCCCTGAAAGGGATACCCCTGAAAGTTTACTGGGAAGTTACATTCAGAGTAGATGGCACAAACCAAAGATGTCTTCTATGTGGAGGCCCATACAAACCACCAAACTTGGGGATTGTGCCATCTACTCTGAAACCACTGTATTTGAGGGTACCTTGGGACCAACCTCGGGACCTTGTTGGCAAACTGACACTTGCCCACTGCTC